AAGTACTCTAAACTGTATAAATAATGTAAAATTAAATTGAATTTATTAGCCAATCAGACAAACTTCTGCCTATGAAACCCAACCTAAAAGAAAAGGCAAAAAAAAATATTCCAAAAAAATTTTAAAATTTCATATCAAAATAAATCCGAATTTCAGTAGCAGCAGTGATATTTAAAAAATAATTTTTATTACCATGTGATGCACTTGTATATTGCAACAATAATTTCAAACCCATGTAATATAAAATCAAACCTATTTATCGTTATTGTTATGTATATAATAAAAATTAATCTGATTATTAGTTTATGGGGTTAGGATGGGCAAGGAATTTTTTTTTATTATATAGAATATTAAAAGCTTTCATAAGCAAATTTTGATCTGCAGATATATAATTTAATATACAGTATATATTATCATACAAAACTTCTTTGCTCACCATACACCACAACTATTCGTATTTACTCGTCACCGAAATCACCACCGGAACTTATAAATAAGGAATTTCGAGCTTTTTAGATTTCACGTACACACATACCATGGTTTGGCAATGGAGCTCAACAGAGCTCTGAATGGAGCCAATGGATGCTAGTTTTTTGAGTTCCATTGGCTCCATTGCCAACCCTGGTACCATATTCTTAATGTTCCCGAAGATCTGGCCCGGATGATGCTATATTACCTGGGCTTATGGTATGCTAAAAAAAATTTGGCATCCCATCCGGCCTGCCATCTCTCAATTTTCGTGCCACATGGCATGCCAAATTCATAATATTAATTTAATAAACTAATAAATTTTAAAACGTTATAAATTAAATTTAAATATAGAAATGCATTTATATTATATATTTTTAATATATATATTAAAATAGCTTTACATTAATATTATACGTAATACATATTAATTTACTATATTTTATTATTATGATTATTTAGTATTTATATATATTATACGTAATACAAATATTAAGATTTTTTTATTAATATTTATTTTTATAGTAACTTAAATGGACCCTCATGCTAATTCAGCCTTATGGACACAACAATGTCAAGTATCACTACAACGTTAACTCTAATTCTGGCAGATCAGATGTCAATTCTAGTGACTTCCCAATCTATCTAGAGATTACCAAATATGGTCCTGAATTTCGCTTAAGCTCTAAAATTTCACAATAACAATTAAGATGACAATTATACGTAACATGCTGCGCACCCACAAAATCACGGTTTTGATCGACTTACATATCCATCATTCTACGTAATATTTACGCTGCACGGCGTACATCGATCGTAATAATGGAATAGTAGCTAGTTACACATAAATTAATTAAAAAATGCGTATCGGCCCACCTTTACTAGAATCATCTTCAATCTTCAAGCTAAAATTTGATAAAATATATATAATGTTTTAATTTTTCTTTCGTTAAAAACGAATATTTGTCAAATTCTTGCACACATTGCTATTTTATCTTTAAAAATTGCTTTGTGAACAAAATAAATCACTTTAAAATTAATTTTTTGAAATTTTTGGAAGAAAAAAAAAACCAGTCGAATTCAAGTATTATTTTTCGTCTCGTGTAACGATCAAAGATGTAGGTTGATTCTTTAAACTATCTAATAATTTGTACTATAATATTAAATTATTAATATATAATTATTTTACATAGAATATATATAGTAAAATTAGTAGATATATATTGTAAATAATGAATTATAATTATAATTTCACGGATAAAGCAGAAAAAGTAATTGCCAATGCTATACAGATTGCACGCGATTACTCTCATGTTCAAGTGGCCCCTGCTCATTTAGCGTGCTCATTATTTGATGATTCCGATGGTGAATCATTGATCAAAAATATCATTAACAAAGCTGGTGGTGATGCAACAACCGCTGAGAGAAATTTTAAAAAAATTTTGGCTAGATTGCCAACTCAAGATCCTGCACCAACTGATTTAACATTAAGTCATCAAGCTAATAAAGTTGTAAGAACCGCCTATGATATTCAACAACGTCAAAAAGATAGTTTTATTTCCCAGGATCATCTAATTTTGGCTTTGACAGAAGATACACAGTCATTACAAGCATTTAAAGAGGCTGGTGTCGATAAAAAAGGTTTAGAAAGGGCCATTAATCAAGTCAGAGGGTATGTTATAAATGTCTACTTTTTCATATTTCTTTCTCTAACTATATATATATAAGGTTATTTACACGTGATATTAACAATAGAAATCGAAGAGTGGAATCAAAGAGTGCTGACGAAAATTACGAGGCTCTAAGTAAATATGCCGTCGACTTAGTTGCTTTGGCAAAAGACGGTAAACTCGATCCCGTAATTGGTAGAGATGATGAAATTCGTCGCGTTATTCGTGTCCTTGCCAGGCGAACAAAAGTATGCATATAATATTGTTTTTAATACAGTTTAAAATTTTTACTGATTATAATATGTAATTTGTATATTTTGATATTAATATATTTTACCATTTATTTCTTAATAATTATAATAGAATAATCCGGTTTTAATTGGAGAGCCAGGAGTAAGTTACGATTTATTTAGATAAATTTATAATATTCTAAAATGAATAAAAAAATAACAAATATTAATTATTATGTAATTTAAAGGTCGGTAAAACTGCTATAGTAGAGGGTCTTGCGCAACGTATTGTGCGAAAGGATGTTCCACGATCATTAGACGCCAGACTTTTCTCTTTGGATATGGGCGCTTTAGTCGGTAAATATAAATATAAATATAAATATAAATATAAATATAAATATAAATATATATATAATTCTTAAAACCTATACCATTTTATTCATTCTAACATATATTTCTATAGCTGGTGCCAAGTACCGTGGTGAATTTGAAGAACGTTTGAAAGCAGTTTTAAAAGAAGTAAAAGAATCTGAGGAAGGCATCATTCTTTTCATTGATGAAATTCATTTGGTATTAGGTGCTGGTAAAGCTGAAGGTTCAATGGATGCTGCAAATCTACTTAAACCTATGCTTGCCAGAGGTGAATTACGTTGTATTGGTGCTACTACTTTAAATGAATATCGTAAACATGTAGAAAAAGATGCTGCGTTTGAAAGACGATTCCAACAAGTCTTAGTTGGTGAACCTTCGGTCATTGACACTATTAGTATATTACGTGGTCTAAAAGATCGATATGAAACTCATCATGGTGTCAAGATTACAGATGCCGCTCTTGTCGCCGCTGCACAATTGTCTGCTAGATACATTACCAATCGATTCTTGCCAGATAAGGCCATCGATTTGATGGATGAAGCTTGTGCAAATACTCGTGTTCAACTTGATTCTAGACCTGAAGTTATTGATCAATTAGAACGCCGTCATCTACAACTAGAAGTTGAAGCTGCTGCATTAGCAAAAGAAAAAGATGAACCTAGTCATCAACGCCTTAAGAAAGTTAAAGAAGAGATGGCTGATATCCAAGAACAATTAAGACCATTAAAAGCAAAATATGAACATGATAAAAGTCGACTTGATGAACTCAGAGCTCTTAAACAAAAATTAGATGAGTTGAAAACTAAGGCTGATTATGCAGAAATGCGTGGTGAAATTGAAAAAGCTGCTGATCTCAGATATTACGCTATTCCTGAAGTTGAACAACGTATCACCACTTTACAATCTCAAAAACCTAAAGATGATTCCACCAACCTTCTGACTGAAGTAGCTGGTCCTGAACAGATTACAGAAGTTGTCTCTCGGTGGACCGGTATACCTGTTTCACGACTATCTAAATCTCAAGCAGAGCGTTTACTTTCCCTTGCAGATTCCCTTCACAAAAGAGTTGTTGGACAAGATGAGGCTGTACAAGCAGTAGCCAACGCTGTGTTAAGAAGTCGTGCCGGATTGGCGCGCGAAAATCAACCACTTGGAAGTTTTCTATTCCTTGGTCCAACGGGTGTTGGTAAAACTGAACTCAGTAAGGCTCTTGCACAAGAACTTTTTGATGATGAAAAATACATAATAAGGATAGATATGTCAGAATATATGGAAAGGTATATATAAATTTTTTATTTAGGATTACTTTATTTAAATTATATTTTGCTTTTAATAACATGAAATATATTATTTATTTAGTCATTCAGTTGCTCGCCTCATTGGTGCACCTCCAGGATATGTTGGTCATGAAGAAGGTGGTCAGCTCACTGAGGCAGTACGAAGACGTCCTTATAGTGTAGTCTTATTTGATGAAGTAGAAAAGGCCCACGTTCAAGTTCTTAATATTTTACTACAAGTTTTGGATGACGGTCGCTTAACTGATGGGCAAGGCAAATATGTTGATTTTAGTAACACTGTTATTATCTTGACAAGGTAAAAATCCAATAAATCTATTAGTGGTTTTTTTTTCGTTTATTTTCATATATAATATACTTAATGATTTTTTTTTTATGTCTAAAGTAATTTGGGATACTTCCATCTTCAAGGTTTAACTACCGACACCATAACTGATAGTATTAAAGAGGCAGTCATGAGTGATGTTAAAAGACACTTTAGACCAGAATTTCTAAATCGTCTGGATGACATAATCATTTTTACACCCCTAGGACACAAACGTATGCTTTTATATACATATTTAATTTATTCATATTTATAAGAATTTTTTTTTATATTTAATCTTAAAATACTTAATTCATAATTCATTCTTTAGATATCAAAAAAATCGTTGAAGTTCAATTGAACGGGCTTAATACTCGTTTACAAGAACGACGAATTATTTTGGATATAGATAATAACGCTAAAGAATGGCTAGCAGCAAATGGTTATGATCTTTTTTATGGTGCTCGTCCATTGAATCGACTGATTAAGCACAAAATTTTGAATCCTTTAAGCAGACTCTTAATAGGTATGATATATCATGATGTTTTTATTATAATCGTTAATTATATATGATGTAATGATTCTTATGTTTATAAATTATATAGATGGCGGTGTTCGAAACGGTGAAACAGCTTATGTAACAACTACAGACGATGGTACGGACATTATGTTGAAAAGAAATCATGGTGTAGGCAATTATGATAATGAAATAGAAATGGTTATTGACCAAAATGATGAAGATGACAATCGTCTTGAATTAGATTAATGCACTTTAGAAATTATTGAATAGAGTTTTATTAGATTATATATTTTCTGCGAATTTGTTTAATTTTTACTTTATAGACACTATAAATCAAATTTTATATGGGCATTTACATAATTCAAACTTTGTATGAGCATTTTCATAATTCAAGTTATTACAAATATCTTTGTAATTCAAGTTTTAAATTAAAAAAGGAAAAAACTTTTGTATATATATATATGTTGTACGTATGTTGTCCTAATCTTGGCTATTTTAAAGAATAATTAAAAATTGCATATTAAGAGTATACAAAGTACCAGGTTTCTTAGGTTGATAAACACGACCAATCAGAGCTGGTGGGAGGAATTAGGTGCCTCCTGGGCAGTGTTCGAAATTAGTGTTCTCAGAGTTCTCATGAGAACACCATTATGAATTTGTGCACATGTAAAATGAAAACCAAGAAAACCGTGTTCGAGATACCTATAAAAATATGTAAAAACAATATGTGAATAAAGATCCTTTTATAAAGACAGTACATAGCTGATTCTTTCTTTAAAATCAGCATGCCTGAAAGAATCTAAGAATACGAGTGCGCACATCTTAGAGGCCGAGACAGCTCACAGTCCAGACATTACATGCAGATAACGGGCGTAGCACAATCACTACTGTCTAATACAGTGGCGATCATAAGTAATGGAGCAAAAAAAAAAATTTGGTTAGATCACGTTATTGCAATTCTGGACGTATCCTTTTTTTTTTTTTTTAATTTGCTCATGAATAGTTACCTTTTTTGATATTAAATTCTTAATTTAGGTTGTTTTGCCGGTTCGGAAACAATCACGCGTTGTATCA